CGCCGCCACAGAAGCAGCAGCAGCAACAGCAGCAGCAACAGCAGCACAAAGGAGACAGAGGAGACAGTAGGAGGAGACTCTCAAACGCACCGAAAGGAGCCTGTAGCATCACTTACACCAGGGTTTAGCAGCACCTGAGCTGCACATACACCCCAACATCAACGCACAAACTGCCCTGCAGCAGCAACAGCTGCAGCAGTTGCAGCCACAGCAGCAGCTGCAGCAGATGCAGCAGCTGCAGCAGATGCAGCAGCAGCCGCAGCACTAACAGGCATACAGCCAGCAACAGCGACACCTAAATGGCAGCAGCAGCAGTAGCAGCAACAGCTGCAGCAGCAGCAGCAAGAGAGACGTAGCTGCCTGTACACCGCGAGAGACAGAAGAAGGAGACAGTCTCCTCTTACATAAAAAGTTTGCTCCTCTGCTTATTATTTTTCTCTTTAAGTCCCACCCATGAACTCCTCCTCCTACTCACCAACAGCAAACCCCCCTAAACCCTAAACCCTAAACCCTAAACCCTAAACCCTAACCCTTTGTGCCTCCTTCTGCTTGAAGGCAAAGGAGACACTCGAAAGGAGGCAACTGTCTCCTCTGCTGGAAGCAAAAAGCCAGGGAGCAAAATAAAAGCAACAATAAAATTATTATGTCTCCTTTGCTGTCTCCTTTTGTCTTTTGCTGTCTCCTTTTGTCTTTTGCTGTCTCCTTTTGTCTTTTGCTGTCTCCTTTTTCTATCTCTTTCTGTCTCCCTTATATTTCTCTTTCCGTCTCCTTTTTATGTATTTTATTGTTTGCTTTTTATTTATTTTATTTTCTGCTGTTTATTTATTTTATTGTCTCCTTTATGTTTCTTCTATTGTCTCCTTTATATTTGTCTTTCTATCTCTTTCTGTCTCCTTTATATTTATTTTGTTGTCTCCTTTATATTTATTTTGTTGTCTCCTTTATATTTATTTTATTGTCTCCTTTATATGCATTTTATTGTCTCCTTTATATTAATTTTATTGTCTGCTTTATATTAATTTTATTGTCTGCTTTATATTAATTTTATTGTCTGCTTTATATTAATTTTATTGTCTCCTTTATATTAATTTTATTGTCTGCTTTATATTAATTTTATTGTCTGCTTTATATATGTTGCATGCCTTTGATGTAGCGAGAGCCAGAGACAATATCAAAGTCTCCTTCCTTTTGTTTCCTAAGACAAACAAAATAAAAAAATAAAAAGGAGACAATATTATAAACAGAGACAGACAGAGACAGAAACAAATAAATAGAGAGAAACAAACAGAAAGAAAAGGAGACAAAATTAAAACAAAGACAGACAGAGACAGAAACAAAAAAAGGAGACAATATTATAAACAGAGACAGAGAGGGAGAGAGAGACAAATAAATAGAGAGAAAGAAAAGTAAAAGGAGACAAAATTAAAACAAAGACAGACAGAGACAGAAACAAATAAATAGAGAGAAACAAAAGAAAAGGAGACAATAAAGAGGGAGAAAGAGAGAGAGACGAACAAGTAGACAAAAGAAAAGGAGACACTATTAAAAACAGAGACAGAGAGACAGAGACAGAGACAGAGACAGACAAACAAACAAAGAAAGAAAAGGAGACAATAAAGAGAGAGAGAGAATAAATAGAGGGAGAGAAACAAAGAAGAGACAGAGACAGCAGAAAGAGAGACAGTAGAGGTAAAGACAAAGACAGGAGATGCAGAGACACCAGAGATAGGAGAAGAGACAGAAGAGACAAAGAGACAGAACAGAGGCAAAGGCGAAGACAAAAGGAGACAGACAAAACAACAAAAAGAGACAAAAGAGAGACAGAGAAAATAAAAGAAGTAAGCCCAAAGATATATATAAAAGGAGACAGCAGAATTAAAAAGGAGACAGCAACAAACATAACACAAAAAAGCAGAAATGGAGACAAATAAAGAGACAAAAGGAGACAAATAAATAAAGAAAGAAAGAGACAAAAGGAGACAGATAAAGAGACAAAAGGAGATCAACAAAGAGACAAAAGGAGATCAATAAAGAGACAAAAGGAGATAAATAAAGAGACAAAAGGAGACAAATAAATAGACAAAAGGAGACAAATAAAATAAAAAGAG